ATGTTCCAAAAACAACTTTGTGCCTTATTTTTCTAGTGAATGTCATGAAACAATGATTGAAGCTTCTGGAATGAGGAAGACTATGTACTCTGTATGATTATTTTTAACTGAATACAGGGGCTGTGTATTTATATAATATAGTCTGTAATATATTGGGTGAAAAATGTTTTAAAGAATACACAGCTTTAAACTATAAATTTGAAGAAAAAATTGTCCTTACAGAATAGAAATATTAAAATGCTTACATAAATTCTGTTTGGTGCTTTGGAACAATTTAATTTTTAATTAATGGCTTCTCCTTAACATCCTAAATGCATCTCAGTAGTAATTGTTAGACTAATGGAAAATGTCCCTTAATGTGTGCATAGGCAGAAAAACTATTAACTAAGTTTAATGAAAGTCTTACCACCTTTTAAATACATCTTTTCTGTTTTCTCTCTCTCAGGCCATTCTCTGACAAGTGCACTAGAGAACACACTGTTCTACCCACCTCCCAGAATCACCTTGAAATTAAAAATGCCCAAGTCAGCGCTGGGTGACTGCAAAAATAACTCTCTGAAAACTGGCAACAGACCCCTTTCTCCAGACAACACCACAGTTTACAACAAAAGGAATGTGCAGATGTCAAAGGAGTCATTTGAAATTAAAGCAAAATCATACTCTAGGTATCAGCATGACAACCGAAGTAATGGGTTATTGGTAGGGATTGGCAAGAGTAGGAATGAAAGAAAAGATTCTGGACCTGCACAGTCACCAGAGTTTCACCGTGGTCAGTCATCTGGTAAACCATTAGCACTTCAAGCTGCATTGCATGGACAGTCTTCCATTGGGAATGGAAAAATGCAGCAAGAGAACTCAAGACTTACAAAATCCAATGGTTTAATGGGCAGGGCTGGAGATGTAACTCAAAGAGACAGGTCCAGCCAGACCCCATATGAACAAGAATCTGTGCTCACTGCTCATTTGGCTAGTCAAAGCAATTTTAGAAAATCTACAATAGAACATTTTAGCAGGTCCTTTAAAGAGGCTACCAACAGTTTGGTGAGGACCACAGAAGATCTGAGGTGCTGTGAAAAGCCAACAAGGAGGCTTTCTACAAAAGAACGTTTGTGGAGCAAACAGACTCTTGAATTCCAGACAGGAGGAGCTCCATACCAGGATAATGATGGGTATTGCCCTGATTTGGAGCTAAGTGACTCTGAAGCTGAAAGTGATGAGAATAAAGAACAAGTCAGATTAAGGAAAAGCAGCTCAGAGAGAGAAAGCCAAAGTAAGGACTTTGGTAGAGATTGTAACAATAGAAACAAAAAAAATATTTCTCACAGTTCAGTACAAAGGTGATTATAAACACCTAAGGGGTAACTCAACCTTTACATAATCCAGTGTATCGGTGCAAACCTAGGCATCAGAGGGTTTCAGAAAACGGTGCAGGACCTACATTAGGAAGAAATGCAGTGAAAAAGGAGAGAGTAGTTTTTGGTAGTGAATTGGCCTGCGATTTTAAAGGGATAGTCAAGGTTGTGTAGAAATCCAATATGCTTTATTACAGGTTAACATCTGGGAGAGTATGGAGCTGTTAATCTTTGCATAACTCCAGGAGCTGCTTCCTTTTTACCTGCCTTTTGTGTAAGGCATTGTTAAAAATGTCAATTTTGTGCTGCTGGACCAGGTATTAAAGGAGTCCTTGCATTGCTCTGTAACATGCTGTAAAAGATTAATGCAGACACTAAAACTGCATTCCTGTTGCACCTGATCAGCAAAAACTTAAGCATGTGCTTAAAACTTTAAGCACATGACTAGTTCCATTGACTCCAGTGGGAGTATTCATACACTTTAAATTTAAAGCACATGTTTAAGTTCTCTGTTGGATTGTGGTCTAAGTGACTACTAAATGGGGATCCTGTTCTGCAGAAAGGTAGAACTCCAGTGATGCTTGTAAACCCTCTCTGCAGGGTAGAAGCAAGTATCACAAATGCTGCCAAACTCACTGACCTCTAGATGTGCCCCCATACTTTGCTCCGGCTAAAGGTTGTGTTTCTCTTTACAGTAATTCACTTTATTTTGTAAATATTCAACTTCTAGTACTTCAGTTTTTTTATCTTTGTACATAGTTGCTTGTTGTGGGATGCACTTGTAAATATTTTACCCAGCTAACAAGTAAAGATGACTAAATTTGTGGATAGTGTTTACAAAAGTAGATGTACTACTTCAAAGAAAAATGCTATTTGACACTTAAATTTTAGGCAATCACCGATGATGCTAGGTTCCTCTTGAAACTTGAGATTTCACATCTGGAGGCATTTATACCTGGTATGTTAAAAAAATAAGCTTGAACTAAAAATCATTTTGTCTGACCTTTTTTATATAGGCTAAAATTTCCAAGCCTAGGTGACTAAATAGGGGTTTAGGAGCTTAACTTTAGGAACATAGGTTTGAAAAAATTTAGCCAGTCATTTATTTGAAGCACATTTTTATTGCTAGATAAATCTGGAAGCATATGTAAGACATATGACTACATTAAGCTGCTTAGCCACCTCTAATTAGTTCGTATTTCCCAAACTAAAAGTGCTTTGCACAAGTTTTAAAAGTTGCAAATGCTAATATGCTAACTTTCACCCAACCTCAGAAAAAAGTCCCATTTTATTCTTTACTGCACGTGGTTTGTTTTGTTTGAATAAAAAAACCAACTTATCTTTTTCATAAGTTCTGTTAACCAAGAGTAATTCTGTTCTGTCTGATGAAATGACATTTCAGTCATAAATGGGCAAAGCCCACTGTCCCACAACAAGGGCTGAAATGGAGCACAGGTATTGCAGAGGGCCTTGCTTTATAGCCTCCTTTGCTTGTGGTGAATTTCATCCAAAAGGAAATCATTAACCTCCCAATATAAAGATATTTAGCAGAATACAAATGACAGCTTGATTTTCTTCAAAGCCTTAATTTATTTTATTGCTCTTAGTTTGGGAAAGTACAACAAAATAATTTAGATGATTAAACTTTGAAATATTCCTCACGATAGTTACTGGTCAGGGGCTAGAGAACACGTCAGTAGTGAAATACAAAATAAACCTTGCAGTTCCGTGACCTGTTTCATGAATCCTTAATTTTCTTTCACTTCTTGATTTTCTGTATATTTGTGTAATTGTGTACATCTTTCTAAAGATGTATTTTCAAATTTTCTTTTGGTGTAAATATGCAGTAGCATTTTTAGGTTTCCATATACTTTATTTTAATGGGAAATACTTTTTGTTCCTAAGCCATGGGTCATTCAAAATGAGTAACAAATATCCACTCATTTGTATTCTAGCTCTGATTCTTAGTTCTCCTTCAATATTTATTATTAATCCTTTTTCTGGCCATACAATTATGTGGAGCTTATCTTGGGAACATTTATCTTGGAGGCCAGCAGAGCAGTCATGTTTCAGGCCCAGCTGCATATGAAAAAGATGAGGGGAGGGAAATGGTGCTTCAGCAAAAATCCAAATTATTGCTTCATTGGGGATGTAACTCTTTCCAGTGTGGGCAATAGTTTTGCTAATTTTTGCATGATTTTAATAGATACATGAAGGAGCCCTTGGTTATGTAGTTCTTAAATATAGTCCCCAAAATGTACTTGCTAGTTTTTATTGTGTGTTTGGTGGCTAACTGTTTGAAGTATTACCTCTTAACCTTATTTGTTAATTTTTGTTTTTTGCATTTTGTTTTTATATATATATATATACACACACGCACACACACAATTTTCCAAGATGGAATCAGTCTTTTACAGATGTCCCCTTTTTACAAGTACTTTTTCATTAAATTATGAAACTGCTAACAGTATTTTCATTTGTTGTGATTTATTCAGGGATTTATGCTTTGTGTGGTAGGTTGCTAAACCAATCAATTTCACAAAAGTGATTCCACACCTGTCAAGTGCAAATTAATATTTTTGCATACTTAGAAGCATTTTAACAAGTTGGCACTTTAGCAAAACTGTTTCCCGCACAACTTCCTGAAAAAGAAACTCCAAAGATGGTGATTGGAGAGGATACTTTGGATACTGATCTCATCCAGGCTTTTCTGGTAAAAAAAAAATTAACTTTTTGTTTTTTATTACTCACCATCAAGGTAAACATACAGGCAGTTTACCACACAAGCCTTACTTTAACACTTGTGTTCCTCCTTCACTGTGGAAAGTGACCTGCATTTTTGCCTGGCTGGGTACAACTAAATATGGGGGGGGAAATATAAATGGGCCATGTACACTTGTTCATACACAGACCTGGTGCTATGGCACGGTACAAATGAGGTGGATGGTTGTTAGGGATTAATGGAGCTAAGCCACGTCTCTGTGGGGTTTTTTCCTTATGTACAACACCGTGAAGTACCACCTGTTGCCACTGGTTGGAGCCACAGTACACCTGCCTACTGTTGAGTCACTTCAGGAAATTTATGCAGCAAAGAGACAGAACGGCAATGCAGTTTCCAAGGGGCTAGCCCCTCAAAGGAAAAGAGTTGGGCTGTTTGTTTGTCAAAGGGATGCGCCCTGAAAATAGTCACTGGTCCATTCCTTCTCTCTCTCTCTCTCTCTCTCTCTCTCTCTCTCTCTCTCTCTCTCAAAGGTGGAATAGATTTTTTTATTTGTTCTCCCCTGAACTGGAAGAGTAAATGTACCAAAATATTCTAACCCCTCCCTTACTTTCCCCCCAGTCACAATTCAGATTCCCTAGCTGGGGTTTTCCAACTGCAGTCCTCCAGGATCTTAACCTCAGCATACGTAGCTTCACTGTCCCCACATTTGGAAGTAGATGGCTAGCAGCTTCCCACCTTTGACTTGCTCCCCTCCCAAAGACATGGACTGTTTTTTATCTGGTCCTGACTGGCACCAGATGCTGCTTTCTTCAGAGGCCACATAAGATTTGTTGAGGATTAAATCAGGACAATTAGCCCCTGTCTTTTCTAGACAAATGGTGGTTAAAGCAACTCAAGTGATTCCTAAGTGTCAGGAATCTGCTTGTTTTGATTCCCAAAAGAGAGCCGGAAAGGGAAAATCCCAAAACAAGTCGATCCTCTTTCCTACTCCATCTGTATCACATTCACTGATTTAATCATAGCACATATATACGTTTTTTCTTATGACAGAAACCTTCCCTAAAGTACATACCCCACAAAGCACCAGACTGCCCTGTCACTGCTCAGACTTCCTGCTAGCTTTGCCCTGCTTTTCCAGACTCTGGAAGAATTTTGAGTGTTTAAGGAGCGTGTGGCGGGGGGAAAGGGGCGCAACAGTGTATTCTTAGCATGAGTGTTTGGTTGGAAGAGTTCAGAGCTGAGGGGTGGTTCTGACCTGTGGAGAAGTGAAATAGGTAGTATGCAAGTTGGGGGATGAGTAGTACTGAGCAAGTGGGGGTACGTCTATACTTACCTCCGGGTCCGGCGGTAAGCAATCGATCTTCTGGGATCAATCTCGGAAGTGCTCGCCGTCGACACCGGTACTCCTGCTCCGCGAGAGGAGTACGCGGAGTCGATGGAGCCTGCCTGCCGCGTGTGGACCCACGGTAAGTTCGAACTAAGATACTTCGATGTCAGCTACGTTATGCACTTAGCTGAAGTTGCGTATCTTAGTTCGAAGTGTGGGGTTAGTGTGGACCAGCCCTTAGTCTCAAGCAGGACATATCACAAGTTTTCCTCTCCTTTTGTTTAATGGAAAGCCTACTAATTCTTCTAAGCCACCCCCCTTCACCAGTTCTGAACACTCTCCACCCTAAGTAATGGCATAGTAATTTGGAGCCAGTAGAAGTTGGAGGTGGCAGGCTGGGTAGTAGGGCTCATGGCTGAAGACCCAGATTTGTTTGCACCAACCCTAATAGAGGAAAAATGTTTTCTGATCTTCCTTGGGCATCACTTGCTTTTCAGAACCAACCTATTATATTTGAAAATTTGGATCAGTGTGCCTTTTTCACATTTAACTTTTCCTCCCTTGGCAATATGTTTTAAAGAGCAAGAGTCATGTTTGTTTAATACTGTTGCATCCATTAATAGCAGTCTACTCTTAGGAATTTGCCCATCGTAGTCAATATCCTACTTTAGAAAAAAATTAACTAGTCTAGCTGTTAGATGTAATTTAGATACTATAATATCAGTACCTACGGTCAGCTGGCTATAGAGCAGGAATCGGCACTGCCAAGAAGTTACCTTTAGCGACAATGGTTCCTAGCATGAACATTGAAGCAGATGCTTTTTGATCACACTTATTTTAGTAGGTGGCAAGTAGACCAAGGAGAGATCAAATTTCTACAAGTCTCTTTGATTTTCCATTTACTAGTCTGTATCATAATCACGTTTCAACATAAGTTTTCAGGCAGACAGTCTGTCCTGAACAACGTATACCCACTTCCCTAAGAAGCTAAAAATGTTTAGACGGAATAACAAAGGCTTATGCCAGTGGGTAAACTTGATGCCGCATCAAATTAAGCTCACATTTCTAACATGGTTATACTACTATACTGTCAACATTTCACATTAATACAGAAACAGAAAATTCACTACCAAGTTTCACTGCCAATCACATTAGCTGAGCAATGACAAGACACTGAATTTTTGGCAACCCTAATAGCAAACTCAAATACATGTGGTCTCCCAACCAGAAGACTGATCCCCAACCCAACCAGCACTTGCCTCATGGTCCATACCAGCCAGTAGAAACTCACTCCATCTAGCACCCCTTGCCCTGAATCAGCCACCATTTTCTCCTGCAACCACAAGGGATTGTGAGACTGGATCATAAGAAGTTGCACCAGGTTTTGGGGTCCCAAGTGGGGGAAGTTTGAAAACACCTTCTCTAGGGACCATTGCACTGAATGATTGCTAAGGTATATTAAATTTAAAATCAGCCTTGAAAGTCTGATTTCTCTTATAAAACTACTAGAAGCACAGAAGAGAGCTACTTGCAAGCTGAGATGCAAGGCATCGGACAGGGAGCCCGGTCTGAGGCCCCCCTTGAGAGCAGAACAGGTGACTTTTCCTGTTGTCCCTTATAGCAAACAGGCCAATCCATTGAACACTCCAGGTTGCAAAGATAGTGTGGAGGATGCTATCTTCAGAGACTACTCGTGACTCAGCAAAAAAATTCCTGCAGAGATGGTCTGTGAGATGATTCTAGACCCTGCGCCAAGTGGTCACCCATCGGAGTGATACTCTCCTCAATGCAAAACTGCCTCAACCTGATTGCCTCTTGGCAGAGCACTTTTGAGTGTGCTCCTCCTTGCTTATTCACATAATACATTGTAGTGGTATTGTTGGTAAATATGAACCACTGCACCCCTAATATGGGCCTGAAAAGCGTGACATGCGTTGTAAATGGCCTGACGCTCCAGCACATTGACATTCAGAGAGGACTCTGCTCGGACTACTTTCAGCAACCCCAGATGTGCTCCCCTGCCCATCAGGGAGGCATTGGTGATAATCCTGGTTCGTAAGGGCCAGACAAAAAGAATGCCCTGACAAACCAACATTCTCAAGACATCTCCACTCTGTAAGGAATCCAGGACCAGTGGAGGAAGACTGCCAAATCTGTCCAAGGAGTGAAGAGTGGCAGTAAACTGTCCTGAGCCACATTTGGAGAGGGCAAAGATGCAGCCTTGTGAACTGGACCACCTGCATGCAAGCGGACATGCAGTTCAAAAGTCCCAGGCACATCCAAACTGTCATGGAAGGCTGAGATTGCAGACTGAGGCAGAGGTGGCAAATGCCTGAAAAACTGTTGGTCAGCAGAAGGGCTCTCGAATTGGTAGAGTCTATTAGGGCCCCAAAGAACTCTATTTTCTGAGTGGGAACCAAAGTTGACTTTCCATTGTTTAGGGTGAGACCAGAGGGTTGAACTAGCGCAGGGTGGAGCTGATATGAGAAATGAGTTCCTCTCTGGATCTGCCCCTCAGTAACCAGTCATCTAGATACAGGAAGATGTGGATCCCTTTCTTCTTGAGATATGCCATGACTATGGCCATTTGGTAAAAATCTGAGGGGAAGAAGAGAAGCCAAAGGGAAGCGCCGTACACTGGAAATGGCTCCCCGCTACGACAAATCAGAGGAATTTTCTGTGGCGTGGCAAAATTGCCACATGAAAGTAGGCATCCTGAAGATCCAGGACAGCAAACCAATTGTTCTGAGATAATGGAGGAGGATAGTCAATGGAGTGACCATTCGGAGTCTCAGGGATCTGATGTATTTGTTGAGGCCACAAATGCTGAGAGAGGTCTTACTCCTACCTTGGATTTGGGCACCAGAAAGTACCAGGAACAGAAACCCTGACACCAGTGATCCAATGGAACTTCATCCACGACTCCAATACGAGCTGAGCATGAACCTGCTCAAGGAGCAGTATCTTGTGAGAGGGGTCCCTGAATAGGGACAGAGAGGGAGGAGTAGAATGAACTGGATGGCACAGCCTGATCCGATGGTGTTTAGGACCCAGCTGTTGGTGGTGATCAAACCCCAAACGTTGTGAAAGCAGGCCAGCCTGGCCTCACATGGAAAGGATAGGGTGGAAAGGAGTGACAACTGGGACACTGCTGGTAACAAATGCCTGAATTCCTCCCTCCAGGTCTCAGGCAGCTGGTCTGTGAATTTAGACAGTCATCCAGGTGACAAAGTTGTACTTTGACAGCTGTGCCTGCTGATTAGCAATTTGCATTTGCAAGGAAGAGGAGGTGTAACTCTGCCTGACCATCAGGTCCAGTCACCATGGGTACTGGAACTAGGGGTGCTGTCACACCCCTGGCTTGGAAGTGGTTTCTGTCATATGCAGGATTTTCTGTTTGGCTCAATGGCTTTCAGCACCC